CCCTGCAATGCATAGGGTACCTACAATATTTCCTGGGATCCCCTTTCAATCCAAGGGAAATATACAAATGAATGTCTAAATTCGTCCGTCATGGGAACAACTATGCTATTTTTAAACTAAAATAAATTCAGAAAAGCCTCAAAGAAGTGTGCAGATCCCAAAAAGGGATTAAGCACTTGGGGTTGATTACTCAGGGTTTCTAGGCCAGCAGGCAAATCTTATCCTATGAAAAAAGAGTCCATAAGAATCTCAGATAAACTGATATAGATTCATGGCATGATTTAAAAAAAAAACTGCCAGGAAAAGTGGGAAATAGCCTTGTAGAAATTAGGCTTAGACTAATACTTTACATCATTTTGTAACACATTCTAAATGGTCACGTGACCTTAATATTAAAGATTATGCAATAAAAAATTAGAAGAGAAACAGAGTATATATCTCTTACAGCCATGGATTGGAGATCTATTCTTAACTGAACACCTTCTGCACAAACATAATTAGTGTACCTAGAATAAGAAGAGGAGCAATTGAATGGAAAAAAATAACAACTTTACATCAGATTTCCTTGTTAAAAGTTTGGTATCCAAGAAACAAACAATTAACAGATATATAAAACCAAAAGTCATTCCCCAAGAGGTGAGTGGTCAAAATATGTGAACAGTTCTCCAGATAAGAATTTTCAAATTATTAACAACTCATATGAAAGAATGCTCCAAATCACTCATAATAAGAGAAATGCAAATCAAAACACCCTTGAGGTTTCATCTCACCATCCTTGTAAACTGGCAAAGATGGCAAAAGGTAGGAACAGTCAATGCTGGAGGGTTTACGTGAAGATAGGCACACTAGTACATTTTTGGTGGGTCTGTGAATCAGTACAATAATTCTGGAAAGCAATTTGGAATTGCGCAAATGAAATGACTAAAATGTCCATACCTTCTGACCCAGAGAGTCCGCTACTAGGCTTATATCTTAAGAAGGCTATTGCTAAGAAGAAAGTTCCTATACACACCAAAATACTCATAGCAGCACTTTTTGTAATAGCAAAAAATTCAAAACCAAGTAAATGCCCAACATTTGGGGAATGGTTAAACAAATTGTAGTCCATGAATGTAATGGTATGTTACTGTGTTATAAGAAATAACAAATATGATAAATACAGAGAAGCATAGAAAGATATGAACTAAATCAAAGTGAAGAAAGCAGGGCCAAGAAAATAATACACACAATGACTACAACCTTCTAAACTGAAACACACACACACGCACGCACACATACACAAACACACGCACGCACACACATGCACACACACGCAAAAAGTAAATCTGCAACATTACAAAGAACATTCATGACTAAAAAAACAAGAGCTATGAGAAGACACTCTCATCCCACCCCTTTGCAGACATGGGAAGTCTATGAATATGATACTTTGCACATATTTTAGCCTTTTCCTATATGTTGATCAGTTTTGTGATACTTTTTCTTCATTTTTACTTTTTTCATCTTTAAAAATATTATTTGTTAAGGAGTGGCTCTCTTGGAGGGAAAGGAGAAAGGACAATAGGGAATATATTGGTGATGCTCAAAAACCACACCAATAGAAATTTATTTTTAAAAAATGACCATGAATAGTTTTCATGGTATGCTCTAGGCAAATTGCAAATTGGGCAGCTAGGTGGTATGATGTGATAGAGTGCCAGGCCTGGATTCAGGAAGGCTCATCTTTGTGAGTTCAAATCCAGCCTCAGATACTTACTATATGACTCTGGGCAAGTCATTTCACCCAGTTTCCTCAACTACAAAATAAGCCAGAGAAGGAAATGTCACACTTCTCCAGTACCTTTGCCAAGAAAACCTCAAATGGGATCATGAAGAGTTGGGCATGATGAAAAATGGTAATATCATCATCAAAATTCAAAGAATACAAAATCCATACTGCTCATATTAGTTTCCATACTCATAATGGGTAGAATAATAAATAGATATTAATACCAATGTATACAACCATCCAAATGTTATCTCAAAGAGACTGATCTGACTTGTAAAGGAGGCACCCTGGAAAATGGGTGATACAACTACCGCTTGAAACAAAAGGAAAAACACGCTAACTTTTCTCTAGTGGACCCCCGAAAAACTAGGTTATCCAATAAGGAAAGTCCCAGATGGAGAATCATTCCTGTGGGATCCTAGAAATGCATGGAGGACCCAAATGTGTCCTAGATGAAGTCCCTACAGGGTTAACACCAAGTTGCATTTCCATTCATAGACCAAATCACCAGAGGGTGGCTACAATTCCTAGGTTCTGGAGTGTTCCCTGAGTATATATATTCATAACACTCAAGAGTAGACACAGCTCTCAGCAAAAGTATTTACTAAGAAGGCATAAAAAGAATAGCAACTGTAACACATCGCTTCAAAATCACCCTGGGGGTACGCTCTCCTATTAGAGGCAGCTAGATGGCTCAGTGGATACAGTGCTAGAACTGGAGTCAGGAAAACCCAGGTTCCAATCCAGCCTCAAACACTCACTAGCTGTGTGACCCTGGGCAAGTCACTTAACCTCTGTTTGCTTTAATCACACCGGAGAAGGAAATGGCAAACCACTCCAGCATCTTTGCGAAGAAAACCCCAAATGAGGTTACGAAGAATCGGACACGACTGAACAACAAGAGATATTTTCACACTAAAGTATGAATGATTACCAGTTCTTTAACAATGGGAAGCCTCTAATATAGTGGAAAGAGTCAGAGACCTTGTTTCCAAAAATCCCAACTCAGGTATTTAACAGTCTTGTGACCCATGTTACCTTGAGCACTAACCTTACCTCTCCTAGTTTCCTTACCTATAAACTGAAGGAGCGGGACAAGACAATTAAAATCACTCACTTTAAGGAGCAGGAAGCAGTGTTTGTTTTTTGGAATGATCCCCTGAGGAAGGCAGCACAAGCATCCTTACCCCAATTTTATACACAAGGACATAAGCTCCGAGCAGTTATGACTCGGGCGTGGTCATACAGCTAGTCAGTGTCCAAGTTCACTAGATGCTCACTACGGGACCCTTAACATTCTAACATCTATGACCCTATGATTATCCATCTGCTCAAATTCTTTTAGAGACTTCAGACTATAGGCAATTATGAGACAAGAGTTTTAAAGGCAATTACAAGGATAAATTATTTCACCCAAATGAAGCCGACAGTACAACAAAAAGATTTAAATTAATAGACACAGAGTCTCCTTCAGGTCAAAACATAATTCATACCAAGATTCCTTCTATTGTCCTGGAGTTGAACTGCTTGGTTACTGAATCTCGGCCTCCTTGTGCCTGGATCTTTGCCAAAGCTGTCTGTAGCTGAAAAAAAAAACAAATGATTTGACTTAATATTTGATTCTATTCAGCAATTATCCAGCTAACGTAAAGCACTTTGATGCTAGGGGGTAGGAAGAGAAGGTTGGTTTATAATTTAGCATTTATATTTTTACTTTATGGTTTCAGAATATTTATAATTGTTATGTTATCATTTTTCATAAAACTACAATGAGGAAGGAAACTTGGACAAGAACACCTACATTAAGAGTGAAGGAGAAGAGGAGACAGAAAAGGGCACAGAGGAGTGCTAAGAGAGGTGGGTGGTAAGAGAGGTGAATGGTTAAGAAAAACCAACATGAAGAGTTTAAACTACTTGAAGCCAGACACACTCCACAAAATTCACTCAACAAACCTTTCTTAAGTGCCTCCCATATGGAAGACACTATGTCTGTCATCAGGGGAGATGGAAAGGTAAATAAGATATAGTCCCTGCCTTCAAAGGCTTGGAGTTTAATAAGGGTGATAAAATATGCACACAGATAAACATAAAACAAATCAGAATATGTCAAGTGCCTAGGAGGAGAAAAAAAGTGTTGTCAGATCACATAAAGAAGAGGTTTCTTCCAGCTAGGAGAAACAGTGAAGGCTTTGTGGAGGAGGTGATGTCTGAGCAGAGTTTTAATGGGTGGGCAAATTGTCAACAGGTAGAGAGTATTTCAGATGGAGGCAGGGATAGAATTATGAGCAAAGACACAGACTTATTAAAGCAATGGATGAGTCTGGGGTAAACAATGGTCTGGTCTCACTGAAACAAGAAGTATATGAAAAGAACTAGCAAAAAAAACTAGGTTGAAGTCAGAATGTGAAGGCTTTAAATACCAAGCTATGGAGTTTGGACTTTTATTTGGTAAGCAAGAACAGTTTTTGAGCTGGGGAATGGTGTGATCTGATATATGAATCAGGAAAATGCTTCTAGCTGTGATGTGAAATATGCTAGGGAGTAGGAAGAAAATGGAAACTCATAACAATATTACTGCAAGAATCTAGGCAAAAGAGAATGAGGGCCTTACCTAGAATGATGGCAGTCGAAATAGGAAGGATGAGAACAGTGAAAAAGATATTTTGGAAATGGAACTGATACTTCCCCTATTTACTTGGTAAATAATGGTCTGGGTAAGGGAAAAATTAAAGATGATGCTCTCTGTTGGGAGGATTTAGGGAGCTCCTCCAATTGGTCCTCGTCACTGAGCTATGTCCAAGCTAGACTGACTGGTGACCAAAAGCCAGGGGAGATGGATGCTTGTCCAGGGAGTCCTCCTACCTCCATAGTGTATAAGAGCAAGCTCTAGGAATGGCTCACCCCTTTCTTCTGTACAATATCTTCTTTGGATTTTCAGACTCAAGCACAGCAAAAGGGGATGGGAAGGCACAATTTCTCCTTTCTATTGCCTAGGAGCAGAAAACAGTAATTTTCATGAGAAGTAGATGACAAGTGGCTTCTGCTTGCCCAGGACAGCCTGTGAAAGGAATTCCTGGACCTCCAGTACTTAGGTGCTTTCCTTTCTCCTTTCTGAGCACAGGTCAAAGACCACAGTTCCTGACACTGGCCTTTCCATGCAAGTTCTAGAGTTCCCAAGAGATCTAGAATTCCTGAATTTGAGAGTTCTGGCACTAGCTTCCCAGAGGAAGAAGACTTCTTCAATGACATGCTTGGAGAAGAAAGAGGACCCTCAAAAGATGATTGTTCCTCAGCTGAGGGACTGATGCCCTACTCTGGACAGAGGCATCAAAGCAAGAGAGCTGGACTGACTCTTGCCAGCCCAGCCATTGCAGGAAGGTCCTCACACAGAGGAGGGCTGAAGTGAATGGAAAATATTTCTTTAGCAGTCCTCTAAAGTGTTGTTACCTTCTGGCCAGGAAGACGAAGGGTGCAGGTGAGAGGGGGGTCTAATGGGCTACTGAGTTCCTTTATTTTTCTGTATTTGTTCACAGGCTCTTAAGAGTCCTTAGCTGAGAAGAGCTAGGTAGTGCAGTGAATAATTGATCACTGGGCTCGGGGTCAGGAAGATCTGAGTTCAAATTGGGCCTTAGACACTTCCTCAACTGCAAAATGGGGATAATAATACACCACCTCCCAACATTCTTGTGGAGATCAAATGAGATAATGTTTGTAAAGCATTGAGCACAGTGCCTGGCACAAAGTAGGTGCTTAATCAATATTCGTTTCCTTCCTCCTTTCTTTGCATCCTGTGCACTTTCTGTAATAGGTGAAGCACAGTTTTCTATGTACAATATTCATATTGAGTGACTAGTGAAGAGTTGGGGCACTCTGTTACCTACCTTGGGGAAAAACCCAGGAGTCTTGTCTAAGCATTATTCAAGAAGTTTCCCCCAGAGTTTGTAGGGCTGGGGCATGAGCCAAAGGGAGATAATGACCCTTCAGGGTCAGCCCCCAGGGAACCTAAAGTCCCTTGGAGAGGAGGGGCCTGGTTTACAGTTGACACAGGAAAGTGTAGGACCAGAAGCCAGGTTGTAAGGGATGAAGAGTGATGTGGAAGAAGCTGGAAGGGCATTTATTTAGGAAGTGGGTTGGTGAAAGGAAGAAGATAGTCAGCAGCCCAAGAGAACAGCAGGGTGAAAAAAGGCGTTTCTGGCAGAGGAGAAGGAAGGAGCCAGTGGAGAGGAACAGATTTAAGATGTAAGGGAGAGAGAGAATGATTGATGAAGAGAGGCCCTGGAGGAGACAAGAGGGGCAAAGGTCAAAGACCCAGGTGGAGCAATTAGCCTTGCCATAAGGTAAGCAACCTCCTCAGAGTGAAGGGAGAGGAGAGGATGGCTGAGGAAGTTTTGAGATGTGCAAAAAGTTCCTATTAGATGATCTCTGTCTCAGTCGAGGAGGAGGCGAGGTCTCTTGGGTTTGGAGGTGGGGAGCCTGAGGACAAAAGGAAAGATCTGCAAAAGGAACTGAGCAGAATGGGAGACCTCCTTAGACTTAACTCCCATTTCCATGACACTTTAAGGCTTACAAAGCACATTACTCAAAATGTCCCAGAATGTGAAGAATACAAGTATTGTTATATGTTATTCACATTTTACAGCTGGGGAAGGTGAGACTCCCACCGATAAAGCAGGGCCCAAAGGCAGAGCTGAGATGCTAACTCAAGGTCCAGTCCTCTCGCCTCCACACCTTGATTCTCAAGCTTTCTTAAGGACTGAAATCACACAGTGACACAGGTGAGGGGTACTCAGAGCTGCAGTCTTGTTTCTACTACTTCCCAGTGATGCCCCCCTAGACAAGTTACTTGCCCTTCTAGGCCTCAGTTTTCTTCGCCAAAAAATAAGCACTTTAGACCAGGTGACCTGGACAGTCCCTTCCGGCTCTAACGTCCTTCCTCAGAAGTGCCCCAAATTACTTCATCTCTCAATACTAAGCAGCACAGCCTATTAAACTGGTAGCACTTCCCCAGTGCTTCTATTAAATAACCAATTATTGGGGAGATTCAGGTTGGGTTTTTTTTTCTTTTGCTATTTCAAAGTCCAGTCTTTCAAGGAGATCTCTGACCATGCCCCAAAATTTACCCCATCTAGACCAACTTATCTAGTTGTTGTCTCACCCAACCAGAAAAACTTTACAAAGAAAATCTCATCTGGTTGACATCCGGCCCATTGTGTTCTAGTCTGAGCCATCAGTCATGTCCCCCCCACCCACCTCTCATTAAAATAGGTCTGTCTCTCATTAGAATATTTATTCTTCTCATTAATTGTTAACCAGAGTTGATTGCTGCCTGTCAGGAATACCCACTCTTCCAAGGACATACAAACATCAAGAATTCACCATGATCAGTCTTTGGCATTTGAGAGTGCTACTGACCCCTTTTATCAATTATCTGCTAGCAATAATTAATAAAAATGATTAATTACCCAGAAATGATGTCTCTCAAATTTTTTATATATCAGACCAGGAACCTGTTTCAGATCAACTCCAAGCAATGCTTAATGATGAAAAATTTAAAAAAATGTATCTTTTAGCCCTGCCTTAATATCCTCTTCTGACATGTCCTTGCAGTGAGAAGGGGACTCTGGGCTCTCAAAAGTAATGCTAATAGAGCACAAGCTTTCACAGTTCTTACTAAGCTGGAAAGACTTCAAGCATAGGTCCGTCCAGAAATAGACTGAATGTCATCCAAGCATCAGCCCAGCTCAGAATGGGAAGGCTCATCACCAGAGGGTCAGCTGCCAAAGAGGAACTGCACCCTCCCCACCAGCTCATGTAAATGTAGAGCAGATCTAAGTCTATGGAGTTATGGAAGCAGATGATAATGGTGACAGCTGGTGTTTAGAGATCATTTTAAAGTGTAGAAAGTGCTCTGGAGACATTCTCATTTCATAGAATCACCGTTTTTCAGAATTGTAAAGGACTTCCATGGCCATCCAGTCCTAAATATAGCCTACCCAACAGGTGCTTTTTACTTGTACCACTTTTACTATAATACCCACCACCCCTTGAGGCTTCTCACCCCACTTCTGGACAGCTCTAAGGGCTAGGAAGATTTTCCAGACATCGGATCTGAAAAAGAACCACCCTAATCCCTCAGGCTTTTGAGTAGGTTATGAGGCAGTCAAAGCTTCTCTTCTCCAGGCTAAACGTTCCCATTTCTTTCTCCTATAGCAGGGTTTCGAGGCTTGCATCATCCTGGTGGCCCTCCTCTGTGCTCCTTCTCAATGATCCTTCTAAATGTGTGCCAGAACAGCTCACAGTACCCCAGATGCGGTCTGGCCAGGACAGAGGACAGTGAAGTTATCTCCTCTCTTCGTGAAGGCCAAGATCCTATTCACTTGCTTTGTCTATTATATCACTTTTTTTCTTTTTTGCCTCATTGAGCTTGCAGCCTGAACCTCATAATGACCATGTGAAGTAGGTAATACAGGTATTATCTTACCTATTTCACAGCTGAGAAAAAACAGATATATGGAGAGGCCAAGTGATTTCCCCAAGGTCACATATCTAGAAAGTGGCAAGCCCAGATTGAAAACAAGACAGATAAACCTATCAGTTCAGAGCTATTTGACAGGAAAGCACTGGCTTTAATAGAGTGCACTCAAGCTAAAATTTAGGTGTGCCTGTGGAATTTCCTTACTACATGTATTGAGACAGGGAAATATGTTTGCAGGGAAGACTGTAGAATTTCCTGGGAGACTTCATTTTTGTTTTTGTTTTAGGATAACATGATGATTTTTCCCAAATGGTTTAGATGCAGCTCGGATTAAAGAACCTCCCAAGACTCCTTCCAACCCAAGGACTCAGTGATTCGGAGGTTAATTGCAATGCAGGTGAAAAGCATCAGATTGACATGAATCCTCCATTTAGCCACAGGATAGGTCTATGAGCACAGCTTGAAGTGAGACCACCTATAGAGAGCAAAGCTTTCTTTTTATTGCTCCCACCAATATTCTTGCCAACAGTGAAGATTTTATAGGACAAGGGCTGTAGAGCTGTAGAGTGGTGTTGTCCAGGGCCCATCAACGGGCAGGTTCTTAAGTCATATGTTAGCTGTTTGAGCCATAAGCCCCACCTCTGGTCTCTTTGCTCTGGTCTCCTAACAGCCACCAAACAAAGTAAGTTGATGCCAGGGCTCTTGGGGGCTTACATATGGTAGAGCAAAGAGTTTTGGACTGGGAGTCAAGAGACAGTGTGGCAGAATTAGAGACAGAAACCCTGGGCTGGAATCCAAGCTCTGTTACTTACGATGTTTCACAAGGCCTTTTCCCCTTTCTGGAACTGGTTTCCCATGCTGTAAAATGAGATAGAGCAGCTGGGCTTGGAATCAGGAAGGCTCATCTTCATGAATTCAAATCCAGCCTGAGACACTTCCTAGCTGGGTGTGTGACCCTGGGCTAGTCACTTGACCCTGGTTACCTCAGTTCCTCATCTACCCCAAATGAGGTCACAAAGAGTTGGATGTGACTGAAATGACTGAATAGCAACAAAAATGAGATGGTTGGACTAGATGATCTTTGAGGTTCCTTCAAGCTCTAAAAACCGATGGCCTGGCTTCTAGTCTGGTGTCCAAGCCACAGTCTCAACAGCACATTTAAGTCAGGACAGGGCACAGCAGACCCAGTCCGTGACCTTGCCAACACATCAGATTACAACTATAATATCCGCTGGGCCTGATTGTCTCTCAGAAAGGAACTAACAGAACTAAAAGAGAGAACTGGATTCAAATCCTGTCCCTGATACTAACGGTGACCATGAGTTAAGTAACACTTGGCTGCAGTTTCCTCATTCATAAAATAGGGAAAATAATATAATGTCAACTTCACAAGGCAGTTGTGAGGTTCAAATGAAATAATGTATGCAAAGCATGACATAAAAGTCAGCTTGTCTTATTACGAGGCGCCATCATAGCAGGGTTCTACTCTTCTTCAAATCCCCTACCACATAGTGCTGTGTTTCCAGTGACAGCCCAGAGCAGTCCATCTGTGTGTGAGCGGCTTGGCCATATCACTGTCCTTTGCCATGACGCTTCATCAGCTCACTGCTCATAGCTTTGATGCTGACAGTAGTAGTCAGCCCAAACTCATAAGCCTCACCTGTAGGGTCACAACTCCAGCCATCTAGACATTTGGCTCTTTTTACCAGGCCCTGTAGAATTTTGCTTCCAAAACTCTGTGCATGCTCCACCTGGACACAATCTTCTTTTCTTTCTGGACCACAGTTTACCTCCCTGGTACTTCTCCTTGCTGATACCATGCACTTGGATGATGCCTGAGAGGTACCTGGGGGGCTGGAATGCCAATTAGACAGGGATCATGAGGTATCAGATGGCTCACCTGTTTAAAAGCAGGCCAGGATAAAAGTGAACAAATCCTGTGCTGGCCGTGTTTGAATTCTATGCAACCATCCTCCCTGGATCCTCCTTTGCAATTTTCTTATGCTGACTTGGGGTCATAATGTCCTCTCTCAGGCCTCTTCAGGTCTTCGTGTTAGAACCTGCCTGTTCCCAGCCTTGGGTTAGGAATTCTACTCTTCAAGCCCTTATGTTAATGACCTGGCTTGTCTGTGGATGGATGCTTTCTGAACTCAGTCATGCTATGATTTCAACACTTCAAAAGATCTGAGGTTTCATCAGTACAGGTACTCCCTCCATAGGTATAGATCACAGCCCCACCATACCTCATAGGATATGACTTGCTGTAATGTTCATCACCTGGCGTCGAGCTTTCTTGGAATGAAACCTCCCTACACTTGTCCTTGGACAACAGACACAGAATCCCTCAAAGGACCTGGCTTTGAAGCCTGTTCAGTTTGGAAGGACCTCCCAGAGCTTGCAATTCATTGGCATATGCTTGAGAACCCAAGGTCTCCTCCCCATCCTGATGAGACTTTGGAACAGGTAGAAGCCATGACACAGTTTCATCATTTCACTGCTTTGAATGGAGTACATGCTGCAAAGATTCTTTTAAAAAAATAAGTGAATGTTGAAACCTTTCTTCTTTCTATCCAGTGATCTGGCCATGTACCTACTACTCTTTCCTGAGGCCTCAAGTACATCCTTTAGCTAGGAAAACAAAACAAAAACAAAACTCCAAAGGGTCACTGGATGGATCATTATCAGATTCCAAGGTGGATGTGAAAATATACCTTTTTTTCTTGGAAAGGTGCTGATCAGCAAGGCCATCATTGCCCACTTCACTTCTCTCTCCCTTCTAATCTAGCCTTCTGATCACTGCCTGGATAACATTCCTTAGGTACAGATTTGGTCATGTCATTATTTTGCTTAGAAATCTTCATTGGATGGGGGCAACTAGGTGGTGCAGTGGATAGAGCACCAGCCCTGGATTCAGGAGGACCTGAGTTCAAATCTGGCCTCAGACACGTAATGTGTGACCCTGGGCAAGTCAGTTAATCTCATTGTCTGCCCCCCCACCCCCCCAAAAAAGAAATCTTCATTGGATCCCTATTGCCTATCAAGAAAAATTCAAACATCTTTTCCTGGTTTCCAAAGGCCTCTACAAGCCCTGCCCTTTCAGATTTATCTCAAATTACTCTCCTCCAAATTCTCTACACTTCAACCAAACTGGACTACTCTCTACCAGCCCCTTTCCTACAAGACTGGGTGTGCCTATGCTTAGATTCTTCCCTTTTTTGTCCATTTAATTCCTTTGTTGTTGTTATCATTCAGTTGTGTCCCAATCTTCATGACCCTAGTTGGGGTTTTCTTGGCAAAAATGCTAGAACAGTTTGCCATTTCCTTCTCCAGCTCATTCGACAGATGAGAAACTGAGGCAACCGGGATAAGTTTCTTGCCCGGGGTCACACAGCTAGTAAGTGTCTGAGGCTGGATTTGAACACAGGTCTTCATGACTCCAGGCGCAGAACTCTATCCACTGTACCACCTACCTGCCCATTTAATTCCTACCCAGTCCTTTAAGACACAATTCGAATGTCACCTTTTTTGGCAAGCTTTGCAGGGCCTGTCTTGATTTCCTCCTGGTGTCACCAGCACCTAGCACAGTGGCTGGAAAATAGTAAGTATTCAATAAAAGTTTGTGGTCGAGCTTGAAGCTTTTCCTGATTCTCTTCTACCCACTACACCCCTTACATTTAATAATCTTTGTCCTCAGACTTCACATGGCACTTTGTGACTTTCTAATGCAATTTCCACTCGATATTATGTAATTATCTGTTTTGCCTCTCTACTAGACTATAAGCTACTTGAGGCAAGGAATTTTGTTTGTTTGTTACTCTCCCCTAGCACTGAGCACAGAACTCAGCACACAGTCAGTGTTTAATAAATTTGTATCGTAGAGGCAGTTGAAAAAACTAGAATCTCAGAATTAAACCCAAGCCCAAATGGACCCAAGCAAGTCCTGCTTGGCTCAGCTTATTATCCTTATGACTAAGGGAAGATGATCC